CAGGACCTCCAGCCAGTGTGGGACACTCAGCCACCATGGGACCCTCAACCACCCCAGGAGCCTCCGGTGCTTCAGGACCCTTGGCCACCCCAGGACCACTGGCCAACCCAGGACCTTCAGTCACCTCGCCTCAGGAACCTTGGGCACCCTGGGACCCTCACGTACCCCAGGACCCTTGGCAGCCCCAGGACCTACAGCCACCCCAGGACTCTCCGCTGTCCCGGGACCCTCAGCCTCCCTGAGACCCTCAGCCACCCTGGGACCCTCAGGGACTCCAGGCCCCTCAGCTATGCTGTCCCAGCACCATGGGACCCTCAGCCATCCCCGGACCCTCAGCTGCTCCAGGACCCTTGACCACCCCAGGACCTTCAGCCTTCCCAGGACCCCTGGACGCCCTGGGACCCTCAGGTACCCCAGGACCCTCAGCAGTCCCATGACCTATGGCTGTCTTGGGACTCTTGACCACTCCAGGACCTTCAGCCAACCCAGGACCTTCAGCCACCCTGAGACCCTCAGCCACCTTGGGACCCTCAAATACCCTGAGACCCTTGACCACCCCAGGACCCTCAGCCAACCCAGGACCCTCAAATGTTCTGGGACCCTCGACCACCCCAGGACCTTCAGCCAACCCAGGACCTTCAGCCACCCTGAGACCCTCAGCCACCTTGGGACCCTCAAATACCCTGAGACCCTTGACCACCCCAGGACCCTCAGCCAACCCAGGACCCTCAAATGTTCTGGGACCCTCGACCACCCCAGGACCTTCAGCCAACCCAGGACCTTCAGCCACCCTGAGACCCTCAGCCACCTTGGGACCCTCAAATACCCTGAGACCCTTGACCACCCCAGGACCCTCAGCCAACCCAGGACCCTCAAATGTTCTGGGACCCTCGACCACCCCAGGACCTTCAGCCAACCCAGGACCTTCAGCCACCCTGAGACCCTCAGCCACCTTGGGACCCTCAAATACCCTGAGACCCTTGACCACCCCAGGACCCTCAGCCAACCCAGGACCCTCAAATGTTCTGGGACCCTCGACCACCCCAGGACCTTCAGCCAACCCAGGACCTTCAGCCACCCTGAGACCCTCAGCCACCTTGGGACCCTCAAATACCCTGAGACCCTTGACCACCCCAGGACCCTCAGCCAACCCAGGACCCTCAAATGTTCTGGGACCCTCGACCACCCCAGGACCTTCAGCCAACCCAGGACCTTCAGCCACCCTGAGACCCTCAGCCACCTTGGGACCCTCAAATACCCTGAGACCCTTGACCACCCCAGGACCCTCAGCCAACCCAGGACCCTCAAATGTTCTGGGACCCTCGACCACCCCAGGACCTTCAGCCAACCCAGGACCTTCAGCCACCCTGAGACCCTCAGCCACCTTGGGACCCTCAAATACCCTGAGACCCTTGACCACCCCAGGACCCTCAGCCAACCCAGGACCCTCAAATGTTCTGGGACCCTCGACCACCCCAGGACCTTCAGCCAACCCAGGACCTTCAGCCACCCTGAGACCCTCAGCCACCTTGGGACCCTCAAATACCCTGAGACCCTTGACCACCCCAGGACCCTCAGCCAACCCAGGACCCTCAAATGTTCTGGGACCCTCGACCACCCCAGGACCTTCAGCCAACCCAGGACCTTCAGCCACCCTGAGACCCTCAGCCACCTTGGGACCCTCAAATACCCTGAGACCCTTGACCACCCCAGGACCCTCAGCCAACCCAGGACCCTCAAATGTTCTGGGACCCTCGACCACCCCAGGACCTTCAGCCAACCCAGGACCTTCAGCCACCCTGAGACCCTCAGCCACCTTGGGACCCTCAAATACCCTGAGACCCTTGACCACCCCAGGACCCTCAGCCAACCCAGGACCCTCAAATGTTCTGGGACCCTCGACCACCCCAGGACCTTCAGCCAACCCAGGACCTTCAGCCACCCTGAGACCCTCAGCCACCTTGGGACCCTCAAATACCCTGAGACCCTTGACCACCCCAGGACCCTCAGCCAACCCAGGACCCTCAAATGTTCTGGGACCCTCGACCACCCCAGGACCTTCAGCCAACCCAGGACCTTCAGCCACCCTGAGACCCTCAGCCACCTTGGGACCCTCAAATACCCTGAGACCCTTGACCACCCCAGGACCCTCAGCCAACCCAGGACCCTCAAATGTTCTGGGACCCTCGACCACCCCAGGACCTTCAGCCAACCCAGGACCTTCAGCCACCCTGAGACCCTCAGCCACCTTGGGACCCTCAAATACCCTGAGACCCTTGACCACCCCAGGACCCTCAGCCAACCCAGGACCCTCAAATGTTCTGGGACCCTCGACCACCCCAGGACCTTCAGCCAACCCAGGACCTTCAGCCACCCTGAGACCCTCAGCCACCTTGGGACCCTCAAATACCCTGAGACCCTTGACCACCCCAGGACCCTCAGCCAACCCAGGACCCTCAAATGTTCTGGGACCCTCGACCACCCCAGGACCTTCAGCCAACCCAGGACCTTCAGCCACCCTGAGACCCTCAGCCACCTTGGGACCCTCAAATACCCTGAGACCCTTGACCACCCCAGGACCCTCAGCCAACCCAGGACCCTCAAATGTTCTGGGACCCTCGACCACCCCAGGACCTTCAGCCAACCCAGGACCTTCAGCCACCCTGAGACCCTCAGCCACCTTGGGACCCTCAAATACCCTGAGACCCTTGACCACCCCAGGACCCTCAGCCAACCCAGGACCCTCAAATGTTCTGGGACCCTCGACCACCCCAGGACCTTCAGCCAACCCAGGACCTTCAGCCACCCTGAGACCCTCAGCCACCTTGGGACCCTCAAATACCCTGAGACCCTTGACCACCCCAGGACCCTCAGCCAACCCAGGACCCTCAAATGTTCTGGGACCCTCGACCACCCCAGGACCTTCAGCCAACCCAGGACCTTCAGCCACCCTGAGACCCTCAGCCACCTTGGGACCCTCAAATACCCTGAGACCCTTGACCACCCCAGGACCCTCAGCCAACCCAGGACCCTCAAATGTTCTGGGACCCTCGACCACCCCAGGACCTTCAGCCAACCCAGGACCTTCAGCCACCCTGAGACCCTCAGCCACCTTGGGACCCTCAAATACCCTGAGACCCTTGACCACCCCAGGACCCTCAGCCAACCCAGGACCCTCAAATGTTCTGGGACCCTCGACCACCCCAGGACCTTCAGCCAACCCAGGACCTTCAGCCACCCTGAGACCCTCAGCCACCTTGGGACCCTCAAATACCCTGAGACCCTTGACCACCCCAGGACCCTCAGCCAACCCAGGACCCTCAAATGTTCTGGGACCCTCGACCACCCCAGGACCTTCAGCCAACCCAGGACCTTCAGCCACCCTGAGACCCTCAGCCACCTTGGGACCCTCAAATACCCTGAGACCCTTGACCACCCCAGGACCCTCAGCCAACCCAGGACCCTCAAATGTTCTGGGACCCTCGACCACCCCAGGACCTTCAGCCAACCCAGGACCTTCAGCCACCCTGAGACCCTCAGCCACCTTGGGACCCTCAAATACCCTGAGACCCTTGACCACCCCAGGACCCTCAGCCAACCCAGGACCCTCAAATGTTCTGGGACCCTCGACCACCCCAGGACCTTCAGCCAACCCAGGACCTTCAGCCACCCTGAGACCCTCAGCCACCTTGGGACCCTCAAATACCCTGAGACCCTTGACCACCCCAGGACCCTCAGCCAACCCAGGACCCTCAAATGTTCTGGGACCCTCGACCACCCCAGGACCTTCAGCCAACCCAGGACCTTCAGCCACCCTGAGACCCTCAGCCACCTTGGGACCCTCAAATACCCTGAGACCCTTGACCACCCCAGGACCCTCAGCCAACCCAGGACCCTCAAATGTTCTGGGACCCTCGACCACCCCAGGACCTTCAGCCAACCCAGGACCTTCAGCCACCCTGAGACCCTCAGCCACCTTGGGACCCTCAAATACCCTGAGACCCTTGACCACCCCAGGACCCTCAGCCAACCCAGGACCCTCAAATGTTCTGGGACCCTCGACCACCCCAGGACCTTCAGCCAACCCAGGACCTTCAGCCACCCTGAGACCCTCAGCCACCTTGGGACCCTCAAATACCCTGAGACCCTTGACCACCCCAGGACCCTCAGCCAACCCAGGACCCTCAAATGTTCTGGGACCCTCGACCACCCCAGGACCTTCAGCCAACCCAGGACCTTCAGCCACCCTGAGACCCTCAGCCACCTTGGGACCCTCAAATACCCTGAGACCCTTGACCACCCCAGGACCCTCAGCCAACCCAGGACCCTCAAATGTTCTGGGACCCTCGACCACCCCAGGACCTTCAGCCAACCCAGGACCTTCAGCCACCCTGAGACCCTCAGCCACCTTGGGACCCTCAAATACCCTGAGACCCTTGACCACCCCAGGACCCTCAGCCAACCCAGGACCCTCAAATGTTCTGGGACCCTCGACCACCCCAGGACCTTCAGCCAACCCAGGACCTTCAGCCACCCTGAGACCCTCAGCCACCTTGGGACCCTCAAATACCCTGAGACCCTTGACCACCCCAGGACCCTCAGCCAACCCAGGACCCTCAAATGTTCTGGGACCCTCGACCACCCCAGGACCTTCAGCCAACCCAGGACCTTCAGCCACCCTGAGACCCTCAGCCACCTTGGGACCCTCAAATACCCTGAGACCCTTGACCACCCCAGGACCCTCAGCCAACCCAGGACCCTCAAATGTTCTGGGACCCTCGACCACCCCAGGACCTTCAGCCAACCCAGGACCTTCAGCCACCCTGAGACCCTCAGCCACCTTGGGACCCTCAAATACCCTGAGACCCTTGACCACCCCAGGACCCTCAGCCAACCCAGGACCCTCAAATGTTCTGGGACCCTCGACCACCCCAGGACCTTCAGCCAACCCAGGACCTTCAGCCACCCTGAGACCCTCAGCCACCTTGGGACCCTCAAATACCCTGAGACCCTTGACCACCCCAGGACCCTCAGCCAACCCAGGACCCTCAAATGTTCTGGGACCCTCGACCACCCCAGGACCTTCAGCCAACCCAGGACCTTCAGCCACCCTGAGACCCTCAGCCACCTTGGGACCCTCAAATACCCTGAGACCCTTGACCACCCCAGGACCCTCAGCCAACCCAGGACCCTCAAATGTTCTGGGACCCTCGACCACCCCAGGACCTTCAGCCAACCCAGGACCTTCAGCCACCCTGAGACCCTCAGCCACCTTGGGACCCTCAAATACCCTGAGACCCTTGACCACCCCAGGACCCTCAGCCAACCCAGGACCCTCAAATGTTCTGGGACCCTCGACCACCCCAGGACCTTCAGCCAACCCAGGACCTTCAGCCACCCTGAGACCCTCAGCCACCTTGGGACCCTCAAATACCCTGAGACCCTTGACCACCCCAGGACCCTCAGCCAACCCAGGACCCTCAAATGTTCTGGGACCCTCGACCACCCCAGGACCTTCAGCCAACCCAGGACCTTCAGCCACCCTGAGACCCTCAGCCACCTTGGGACCCTCAAATACCCTGAGACCCTTGACCACCCCAGGACCCTCAGCCAACCCAGGACCCTCAAATGTTCTGGGACCCTCGACCACCCCAGGACCTTCAGCCAACCCAGGACCTTCAGCCACCCTGAGACCCTCAGCCACCTTGGGACCCTCAAATACCTGGGACCCTCACGTACCCCAGGACCCTTGGCAGCCCCAGGACCTACAGCCACCCCAGGACTCTCCGCTGTCCCGGGACCCTCAGCCTCCCTGAGACCCTCAGCCACTCTGCGACTCTCAGGGACTCCAGGCCCCTCAGCTATGCTGTCCCAGCACCATGGGACCCTCAGCCATCCCCGGACCCTCAGCTGCTCCAGGACCCTTGACCACCCCAGGACCTTCAGCCTTCCCAGGACCCCT